ATTCCAGATTTTATGGCATCCACCAGAAAGGAAAACAACAACAAAAAAGGCTGAAAGTGAGTTGCTCGGGTTATGTCTATTAGTGACATTAAGTATGTAAGTCAATAAATAAACAAGGCATCTGGTTAAAGTATCTCAAATAACAATTTTCTACGGAGTGTACCAAGCTTCCCCGGAGGGTAATACGCCTGCCGGTGCTGAGGAGCTATCCCAGCGGCAAAGGACAGGGGCTACCACGTGGGGACTCCTGTTCATTTCTGATGAACCAGGGCTAGTAGGGGATAGCAGCTCGGACATAAACCTTCACGATTTAAACACTACTCTAAGACCCATGAAACGAAATTTCTCAGGCATACGGTATTCCCATGACAAATATGACAAGAGTCTCGCACATTTCCACGGAAACAGGACCCTAAGAAGAACACAAGCCTCCCCAACAGACTGCATAGACAGCAGCCTGGGAGACAAGGGGCAGGCAGGTGTTCAGGAAAAGGGCAGGCCTCTGGCTTACTTAAATGTTCACCTCTCGTGAGGATCCTCGTCTTACAAAAGATATCAATTGTGATTGACTTGCCTAATTAACTTAATTTTTAGTATCTAGTTTCAGATAGCCCCAGGCAGCCCAGAGACTTTTTAGAGATGACTCGAGGTTCAGTATGGAGAGAGATTGAGAAATCAGAGCTAGGGGTGCACTGTCTTAGGGATGAAGAGGAAAGGGGTACATGGATTTGCTTCTGAGCCTAAGAGGCCCATGGGCTGCAGTCCTTTGAGCCCTGCTTGCCTGCAGGATGCCTGTGCCCTGGCCTGAGGCAAGGAAGGAGAATTCAGTGGTGGCCAGTTAAGGGAGAGGAGTAAAGCTGAAGGACGGTGAAGGTGTGCGTGAGGGTGAAGGGGTGCGTGTGGGAGAGACGGAGAGAGGGCGGGAGGGCAGGGCGGAAGGGGGAGACAGGGAGAAGTGAGGGTCACAAACACGAAAGCTCGTGTCCATTGGGTGAAGACTGACTTAACCTCCAATTAAAAAATCTCTGCTGGGGGATCCCTGGGTGGCGCAGCGGTTTGGCGCCTGCCTTTGGCCCAGGGCGCGATCCTGGAGACCCGGGATCGAATCCCACGTCGGGCTCCCGGTGCATGGAGCCTGCTTCTCCCTCTGCCTCTCTCTCTCTCTCTCTCTCTCTCTCTCTCTCTGTGACTATCATAAATAAATAAAAATTAAAAAAAATAAATAATAAAAAATCTCTGCTGGCAGCCTGTTCTAATTAACACACGATCCAAGCGCCTTTCCAAGACGTGAAGGCTTCAAACTGTCTCCCACCTCCCTCACTGACTGCGTCTCCTCCAAACTCCCCTTTGGCGCTCCTCTCCAGTTCTCCAAACACCCCAGAATCACTCAGCCCTCGAGGCCTCAGCAGGAAGCCTTTCCTTCTGCTCTTGGCTGCTCTTCTCATCATCCAACAGTGCTTCCTCAGAGAAGTTCTCTGGTTGCTTCCCTAAAGAAGCTCCCTCTCTGGGATTCCGCAGGGCTTACGCCTTGAACCTTATTCATTGACCCCATTTCCCATGAAAACAGAAGGTCTACAAGAGCAGGGGCTCTATCCTGTGCAACACTGCATGCTCTCACCCCACCTCCACCACCTGAACCACCTCCTGTGGAGGTAGTGGAGACTAGTTGAAACTAGTAGAGACTAGTAAAGACTAGTTGAAACCCAAGTCCTACCTGCTGATGCCTATGCACAAAGTCACCCAGGATCTCCTGCAAAACCCCCCTCTGCTCCCTTGTCGCCCCACAGAGACTACAACCCACAACCATACCAACTCCGGCCTGCTTCCAGAACCTGGGGAAGGCTGCTTCCCTTGCAACAAGCTCCAGCTTCCTTGCCGCGTCTTCATCTGAAGGCTTCATTCCCCTCATCTCCTACAGATGTTTCCATTCCCAACCAGATGGAAGTAGGGCGAGGTTTAAAAAGTCCTTCGCAGACCAGCCTTGCACGCTACTAAGCACACTGGGTCTTAGGCATAAGGGCAAAGAGAATGTGGAAGGAGGGCATCTTTTCACTCAGCTTTTTCAGCTTTTTTGCGATAAAAGAATTCTTTTTTCTCCAAGGTTTGGGTACTTTCCTTCCTCTTTTTCCCAGTGGTCCAAAACGAGGAAAGCCCCTGCCCGGTTGCTGCAGAAGGCTAACAGTAAATGGTAGGTAAGCTGGCTATTCCCCCTCGGTTGGCCAAAAGCCTCTAAGAGGAGGAAATACAGACATGGGGAAGAGACTCGGGTCCTGCTACTCCCTACTTTCTTTTACCCTCGAAGTCATCCCCAGAATCTCGCCCCTTCTTAATGTGACTACAGGGCGGCCGAGGTCCTGATCAAGTCTAGGGCCCTGCTGCTTACCTGGTGCTGGGAGTCGCCCGCAGGGAAAGAGCCCCTGCTACCTCACCCCGGGAGGAGCAGCGCCTCTCCCATCCCGATACAGACCCAGCAATCCAGTTTCCTACCGACACGCTCTAACGCCCAAGGCACCCACCGAACGCCATGCATCGAGCTGGCTCCAAATCGAATACGTCTTTATCGGAGCATAATTCACGTGCAGTGTGATAACAAACACATTTTTGTTTTTAAGCCAGAAAGGGTTCGCCTGGAAATTCCGATGTGTGCTGCCATCACCCTAGTCAGAATACACAGGAGAGGTTAAGCCGTGAGAGCAGGGCTGCAGCCCTGGGGAGACTTCTTCCGGGCAAGGAGGGTGAGTAGGAACTTCGGTGGAAATATACGCAGAACGAAAAGAATTTTGGGGACACAAGCCCCTGGAGATAACACATGCTCCCGAATTTGACCAGACACAGCACACCGAAGTGGCACGTCAGAGTCCCAGAGAAGATACGAGATGCCTAACTGATGGAAGCCTGAAGCTGTCCGAAGGAAAGGCAAAGTATGCAGGCCACCCTATTCGAGAAGCCTCGACGGAGGGGTTAATTGAGAAAGTGTATTCAGGGACCCCTGGGTGGCGCAGTGGTTTAGCGCCTGCCTTTGGCCCAGGGCGCGATCCTGGAGACCCTGGATCGAGTCCCACATCGGGCTCCCGGTGCCTGGAGCCTGCTTCTCCCTCTGCCTGTGTCTCCGCCTCTCTCTCTCTCACTGTGTGCCTATCATAAATAAATAAAAATTAAAAAAAAAAGAGAAAGTGTATTCAGATCAGAGGATGTACACCTCGAGCGTGTGCAAGGCAAAGGTGAACGATATGCACACAGAATGGAAGAATTTGCGAGGAATGGACGTTCTGGAGGTTTCCTGGGGTGGTGTGAGGCAGAGGGAGACAGACCTTCCGTGATCCATCCGGAGCCACTTGTGCGGGGCAATCTTGGTGGACGCACCGGGGCTAACTGTTCCTGTCTCACACAGTTGGTGGGAAGATTTAATAAAACCCCACAAGTGAGCGCGCCGCGAGTCCGAGTGGGGCCACGGGAGTTTTGGGTTGGCCTCAGCTGCTGGAGAAGCATCGCCCGGAGGGCCGCGGCCCTGGAGGCCATCAGAGCCTCCACGGGAGCCAAGTGGCCATCGACCCGGCTGGCGGAGAAACATGGGAAAGGTGGCCCGCCTCACCCCCTCCTCGAATATTCCATGCCCTGTGGAACACAGAAATACTTCCCACAGGAAAAAAAAAAAAAGGCAGCCTAGACTACATTCTGGAATGAGGTAACTTGAGAATTATAATTTTCACAAAGGACAGGCTAACGTTCCGGTGTTTTAATTATTTTTTTTTTTTTAACAGTGTGACTTTCGCTGATATCCTTCTGCCAATACGGTCTATTCCTCTGGGAGCCTCAAGGATTTTTATGGATTCGGGGCATGAGAACGAACCGAATATTTCCAGCAAATCTGCTGAAACGTGGTCTCATTTAATTGCATCTTTATAAGGAGACCCCCTCCCCAGGCTTGTGATATTTGGGGCCTGGGGTAAAAACGGGGCTCCAGGGAACAGGCCCCACTGAGCAAGTAATGAAAATCTCCTCCTCTCCGAGAACCAATAAGAAGGCTCGGGAAGCCAGGTTGGGGGAAATACAGTCGGTTTCTGAAAAAGCTGTCTTCTTATAAACCAAAGTGGCCATTATCTCGGGGGCCAGAGATCAAATCTGGAGCCGGGGCTGTGCTCAGCAGGAAGCCTGCTGGAAGGTTCTCCCCCTTTGCCTGTCCCACCTCCTCTGTTTCTAAAACAAACAAATCCTTAAAAAATAATAATAAAGCATCTCCGGGGCGAGAAGAGGCTAGGGAGCAAGGTAAGCTCTCCTGGGCAGGTCTGGGTGCCAGGCGCAGTCCCGGGCAGAAAAGGAGGCTCTTCCAGGGGCCCGTCTCCGGGGTGCCGGCCGCTTGCTCCCTGGGCGGACCGCGGCCCTGACCTTCCCGAGCCCTTGGCAGCCCCCACAGAGGGAGAGGACGGCACCCGCCGCCCCGCACCGCCTGGGGAAGCTTAAGGGCCAGAAAGTGGAACATCCACCAGGCGGTCAGCGCGGGACCTGGACCCTGCCCACCCCCCGCCCCGTCCTGCCCCCTCATCCTGCCCCGAGCCTGCGGGTGTACCTGGACCCTGCGCCCCCCCGCCCCATCCTGCCCCCCCATCCTGGCCCCGAGCCTGCGGGTGTACCTGGACCCTGCCCCCCCCCGCCCCATCCTGCCCCCCCATCCTGGCCCTGAACCTGCGGATGTACCTGGACCCTAGGGCCCCCATCCTGCCCCCCCATCCTGGCCTGAGCCTGCGGGTGTACCTGGACCCTGCGCCCCCCCCGCCCCATCCTGCCCCCCCATCCTGGTCCCAGGCCTGCGGGTGTACCTGGACCCTTCCCCCACCCCCGCCCCATCCTGGCCCCAAGCCTGCAGCTGTGCGGACTCCGCATCCCCGCTGCCCCTGCTGCCCCCGCTGCCCCCGCTGCCCCCGCTGCCCCCGCTCCCGCACAGCCTTTCAGTGCCCCCCGCCCCCCCTGCGCGCAGCCCCGCCCCCGCCCCCGCGCCCCACCTGAGATCCCCCAACGAGGCGCCGGGGCTGTTTGGAGTTTCCAGAAATCGTCCCCGGAGCTTCCTTTGGGCCAGAAGCCCAGCCGGGATAGGGCGGCGGCGGCCCGGGGGGCGCGGGAGCAAGGGCCTCGGGGCGCCCCGCGGCCCTTCCCCCCCCGCCCCCCCGCCTCGGTGCTTGCGGCGTTAGGTCTAGCTCTGGGCGGAAGGGGGGCTGCCTGGACATTTTTCCAAGAAGAGAAATGGGGATCTTCCAGACCTCGAGGCCCCGCCCCCGCACGTGGGAGCCCCGCGCCGCGGAGCCCGGGGCCCGGAGGGTCCCCAAGCGGGTCCCCGAGACTCGCGCGCCCGCCCCGCCCCCTCGCGGCCCCTCCCCAGGCCCCGGCCCGCCCCCCGCCCCCCGCCCCCCGCGCTCGGCCCCGGGGTGCACGGCCCCCCCCGGGCAGCGGGCGGAGGAGGTGCCGCGGCCCGGGCGCCCAGACCGCGGAGGCCCGAGCCCGCGGCGGGGGACGTGGCCGGGCGGGGGGGGGGGGTCGGGGCCGGTCCCGGGGCGGCGGGGAGGCTCCTCCCGCTGGGCTGCCGGCGCCGGGCGCACGGTGCCCGGGCCGCCCCGAGTCCGCGGAGGAGGCGCGGGGCGCAGGTGGGGGGCGCGGGTGGAGGGCGCGGGTGGGGGGCGCGGGCGCGGGGGGCGGGGGGCCCCTACCTTGCAGGCGGGCGGACGGCGGCCGCGCGCCCCTGGCGGGGCGGCCGGGCGGAGAGTCAGGACGGAGGGAGGCGGCTGCAGGGCGAGGTGGGCGGGCCCGCGTCCCCGCCGAGCCGACACTCCCCTCCCGGCGCTGCGGGGGGCGCCGCGGCCGAGGGGGCGGGGCGGGGCGGGGCCCGGGCGGCACGTGCGCCTGCGGAGAGGGGCGCGGTGAGCAGTGCCCCTACTAGGGTGGCTCTGGGCGCCTTTCAGATTCCTTCGTGGTCTGCGACGCTGCCCGGAGCCGCAGCCCGCGGGCGCCGAGCCCGTCCTCGCTCGCCGTCGGGTGACCCCGGGGAGAGGAGCCCCGGACGCGGCGCCCCCCTCCACCTGTGACCACGGACCTCGGGGTGTTTGTGTTGATTTTGACAACAGCCCTGGAGAGGGCACACGGCCTCTCCCCACCCTCCCGGTGCAAAGAGACAAACAAACAAAAAAAAGCAAAAACAAAAACCCTGAGAGTGTTCAGAAAACGCCCATCTCCTGGCCCTGCCTGCCAACCGCGGGGACACACGTTTTGAGATTTTAAAAGGTGGCTCCTGAGCCATCAGAGTGGCGAACGACGTTCAGGGAATTTGCCCATCCGGGTGTCCCTTTTAGTTTTTTTTCCCTTTTAGCTCCTCCTGGGTTCCTTCTTATCCTTCTCTTGTTCGTGATCTTCAGAATTAAACCAGTATTACACCTCCGCCGCTCTGTCCTCTTTTAGGATTTTCGGATCTGCAAAGTCATGAGCTAAGGGGAGGGAGAGGTCGTGAGCTGTGTTGAGGTGGCATCGGTGCTTCTTCACAGGAGTGGCCAGGAAGGCGCCTTCCCCCCTCCCCTCCTGCGCCTCCTGCGCTGGCTTGCCTCGTGACCCTGAGCAAGTGCCTTAACCTCAGGGTACTTGCTTCCCGTCACCTGTAAAAGGGATATAATACATCCTATCTCCAGGGCTTGTTGGGATTAAAATAGGCGATGATCTAAAGAATTCTTGGCACAGTGCTTTGCACAAAATCCACCAGGTCAGGAAATAAGACTACTAACTAGCAGTCCCTGCCCACTATGAGTCAGTCGCCGCCTTTGCATCATATCTGTTCCTCCCATCCATCCTGCAAGCCAGAATAATCTCCTCCTAGAAATGAAGAAATAGAGTTGGAAGGTTAAGAAATGTGTCCAAGGTCACACTGCCTACACTGAGTTGTGATTCAAATGAAAGTACCTGAGACCAAAATCAGTTTGTTGTTGTTGTTGTTGTTGTTGTTTTCCAGAACAGCTCATGACTATGTAGTTATGTGCAGCAGGGACTTTTGAGCTGCGTGACATTAATTTTTTTCAAAGGCAGGACGCGTTACTCTATTGGCACATGATTGCATCTGTGCAGAAATTTTGAATTCCTGTGGAAGGTGATAAAGAATTAAGCAGGGTGATGGGATTATAGGACTTTAGCTTTCTGGAATAATGTTTTTGGTAATTGTTTTGGGAAAATGTTTCCGCTATGTGAATGTATGTAATTTAGCCTTTGACTAAGTGGTTTATTCTTTTTCTTTTATTCAAAGATTTTATTTATTCATGAGAGGCACAGGGAGAGGCAGAGACATAGGCAGAGGGAGAAGCAGGCCCCCCTCTGGGAGCCTGATGGGGACTGGATCCCAGGACCCCAGGAGCATGACCCAAGCCAAAGGCAGACACTAAACCACTGAGTCACCCAGGTGCCCCAAAAGGTTTCTTCTAATGAGGTAGAAGGGGAAGGACCAGCAGGTAGGAGAGGACTCTCAGAAGATGCAGGTTCTTTTAATGGCCTCCAAAATCATAATCTTTAGCAGTGTACATATAAGTTCAGCCGTTTGCTAAGTTTCTTATGTGCTCATGGATGATGCAACCTTTTTGGTAAAATCACATTGTTTCACAGGATATGGCCTCCCTAGGGACAAGTAAAAGGTTCTCCACACCACCCTGGGTTGCCATTCAGCACAGTATAGAGAGTAAGGTTAAAGAAAATAGTACTTCTTTCTCAATCCCAGTGTAGGTCCTGCCAAAAGACCCAACCCCGGAAGATAGGCTGCATTATATCACTTTTAGAGGTGACGTGTCCTGTCCCAAGAAGAGGCTTTTTTCCTGCACGATTGATGTAGGACCGTCTAGTTCATGTAGAGACCTACTCAGTGGTATGGTCTCAGCAGAACAGTCCTCCCAGGTGACCCAAGGACCTGCGAGATACCCCCTTAAATGACAAGAGACCACTTCCTCACAATTTCCCCCTGGTAAGTGAATAATAAAAACAAGTTCTCATTTTTCTAACATTTCTCAAGCCTTGAGTTGTCCAGTTTTAAAACGGCCTCTGGCTCAAGACTGAATTTGGCCAAGCTCATCTTTTTTTACATGCAATTGTTCCTCCCACTCTAGGGGAAGATCCTGCCAGCCTGGTCTTCTGGCTGTCTTGGGGTTTTCTCTACTGCAAGCAACTATTTAAAGAACATGCGCATCTCAAAAAAAATAAGCCACGGGGAGGAGGCAGTCTCTCTCCCAGCTCCAGCTCTGAGCTCTGCCTCTGCCTACGGTGTAAGAAACTGTTTCTTTCGCAAAAGGCAGCTTAGTTCTGTTAAGCAACGCCCCAGCTTCTCTAGCATCTCCAATTGTGGGGCCTCAGCCCTGCGTTTGCATATGGAAATAGCCAATGAGCCCATTTCCTTGGTAAGGTCAGGGCTCGGAAAAGGGAATTTGAGACCATCAGAAAGCTTACTTGCAACTTCCCTTCTAGGTTTCAGAGTTCTTGGTAGCCCAGTCTCCAGGACTGCACTTGCTCTCCCCTTCACAAGCTGGAGGATGAGGGGAAGCGGGAGGGTGGCCTTGGGGTTCAGCGTGTTCTAAGCACCCGAACCTATAAAATACCTGTATGGTGGAAGCTGTAAGACAAGTGACAGAAAACAACTTCAGTGTGTTATGAAAAGGGTTAATATTCAGACTACGTCAAAATTTCCTATGGCTCTGCGAGAAAAAGACAACCCATTAAAAAACAGGACGTGGGTCATAAGCAATTTATAGAAGAAACACAAATAGCCCACAAACAGGTGCAGAGACACTTGTGTCTTTTTATGCTAACACTGTTTAAGAAAATGGAAACAATAATGAGACATCAGATTGGCAAAAACTAAGGGTAATGAGCTTAATGCGTTTCCTCAAGGCGTGGGGGCGCCCACTCAAGGGAGTATGAAGAACTTCCTTGAAGTTCAGGGCAGTTTGGTGGTTGCTGTCAAATTTACAAGGCTGCTGTAAGTTTGAATTTCAAAACTCTAATTGAGGTTCCTTAACTTTCCCCCTTCAGAAGACAGTTTGGCCTCAAGCCAAGCAAAATAGGAAAGAGGGGAGTGGGCAAGAGGGACGGATGGGAAATGACAGAGGATCTGTGAGCTGCCTCCTGGAATCGCTGGTCCACAAGAGGGCAGCCCTTCTGGTGGCCCACAGCTCCCTGAACGAACCCCCCCCCCCCAACACCCTGGATGGTCGGGCTCCTCCTACGGTTGGATGGGGACAGGCTGCAAAACTGCTGCCTCTTGGAGCCACTTGCTCAGAGAACTTAACTCAGTTCTGACAAGTATTAGGAGCCTGGCCCACTGTCCTGGCTGATGGGCTGCGCTCCCCAGAGGGGGGAGATGTCACCCCATCTGTCTGTGGAGATGCTCTCCTCGCTTCTACTCTGGCCCCATGACCGATAATTCCGTCAAAGTATGTATTACAGGGACCTTTCCTTGGGCCACTCAGCCCATGAATTAAACTACCTAGTGAACCCCTTTGTCTCTCATCTTAGCTGGGGTACAGAGCCGAACTTACAGTATTTTACTTCATGAGAATGTGTCGATAGGATGGATCCAGGAAGGTGGGATTGTTGGGCAAAGTGTACATGAACCCACCCTCAAATAATTTTCTACGTTTTACTTTCTGTTTCGGAAATTCACACTCTAAACAAAAGAACAACAACAACAACAACAAAAAAAACAAAAACAACAAAAAAAAAACAATTTTCAATAGCATTCCCAAAGCCAAGTGCAAGATGGAGTCATTAAAGTGAGCGGTGAATGGTCTAGAAGCTTCTCTGCGTTTCCCAAACTCCACTCTGCTATGAATGCAAGTCACCTGCAAACCAGCAATTCCATTTTTTTAGGACTTCGTCTGTAGAAATAATCACATATAGAGACAAAAATATGAATAGAGGTGGGCACAGCAGCATTGCTTATAATATTTAAAAACAGGAAAATAATGCCCAGGAATAGAGTGACTAATTAGATTGTGGTATATCCTAATAATGAATGCGGCCGTCGCTAAAGCTATCATAAATGTGTATATATGTTTTCAATTCACTAATGTGATAACGGCTCTAATACATTGGCTTTAGGAGTTCTACTCAGAAAATGTACACTGAATGTTCAAAGAGTGTATCACAGATACTATGATTCATTAATATCAGGCAGAAAAGGTAAAGGAGCAGTAATGTGTGTGCATATATTTGTGAATCCATAGGGAGTGTTGACAGCGATTTCTTCTAGAGA